TCATCAAGAATGAGCCTTTATTCCAATACTAGAGCTCATGGAGATTATTGTGCTATAGACTATTGATTATCATATCACAGGCTGGAACACGTTAGTGTGTGAAGGGGTGCTGTGTTCAGGGTTTTTAGTGCGTGCATGAATCTTGATGGCAGTGGCACAAAGAAATAGTTCTTTGTTGTGTAGAGAAGTAAGTAACTATCTGAAACACATTTCAGCTAAGCAAAAATGTAGTTTAGTTCTGCGTGAAAATTAAAAAATAATTATACGTTATCTCGGGAAAAAAGTGTGATTTTTTTTTTATATAATACTTTATCATTTTTGAAGCTTTGCTTAAATGTTTCTGTGTAGTAATTAATTTAAGGAGTTCTATTTTGATAGGCTTGCTGACCAGGAATTGTCTTCATTTCTGAAGACAAATATTAATAGCAGTAATACTGCTGATGAACAGTATCTCTCATATAATTGTGCATCAGGTATCTCCTGCAACGAAGTCAAGAACGTACTGGACATGAAAAAGTTGGGAAAATCTTTGGCTATAGTTACTAAAGAAAAAGATAAGAATATTGGAAAAGTGGATGAAAAACAAATGTGTTATGGTGAGAACTAAGTCCAGTATCTTTAGACTAAGTAATATCTCGTATGTTCAGGTCATCTTACTGACCCCCTGGTGGCTCGATGGTAAGATGGATGGCTTATAATACTAAAAATTGGGTTTTGATACCGGCGGTGGGCAGAGAACAGATAGCCAAATGTGCAGTTTTATGCTTAACAACAAACAAATGATCTGACCATTTCCTTTATAGTTGCGATCAAGGATTTATTTTTTATTTTTTTTCATTTTAGAGTTTTGGTTTTTGATTTGAAGTAACTGTAACTCACTCCAAAATGTGTTAGTCACATGCCTAAGTCCAGTCGATTGTCTGGAAAAGTTTTAAAATTATAATGACTTTTGTAAGGCCAGTCATGACACTTAAACATGGGAAATTTATTACCCTATTCAAATATAGTTATGAATATAAGTTTGAGTAAGAATCATGTTTAAGTAAGCAACTATCATGTTGAGTAAGTGTCTTTTGTAGAAATTAATTATTTTGTACCAAGTACCCAAAAAAGATCAACTAAGCTGTTGGTAGTTGTTATTACAGAGACTTTAATGATAACAGAAATATATATATTAAATCTGTAGACTGTTTCACCTCTGATAAATAGGCAGTTTTATACTTAGCTTAATTTTTTGCCACTTATTTCACTAATTATGTATATTGTTGTAGGTAGTGTTCTTTTAATTTTCATGATGTTAGGAGAATAAGTAGATTCAAAAAATTGTTTTAACACAAAATTACAAAATCCTGTAACCTGTATGCGTTCAAAAGGTGGACCTTTCTTCATGAGGGGCAGACTCTTTCTATGTTTGTATTGTTGTTTGTTTATAGGGAGTTTATACATCACATGATTGGCGTGGCTTAATGACTAGACCATTCTTGAAAGTTGAAGAAATGTTTTGAGTGATATAAAAATGCATGATTGATGATTTAATTACTGAGTTAGTGAATTTGTTAGTTAGTTTGTATGTTACAGAATTTCACATACACAAAATACTAGTTAAATTAACATTGAAATATTTTTTATTTTTTGTTAATCATCATTTGTGAAGTTTGAAGTATTTCATAACTTAAAAAAATAACTCATTGAGACATTATGTAGTACCAACGGTTGTTACATGTTACACAAGATACCTCTCTTAAGGTATACATGGTACTACTGGTCATTTCACACTAATCAGTGCATACATAGTACTTCTGGTACTTAGAAAGGGATATACTAGGCCATATAGTACTACCTGTATAGCAGCAGTGTTGTTTACCAGAGTATATATATATAGTTATTTATGCAGCCAGGTACATTTCGGACTGACATTTGTTTTATTTGATTGAATATTTATTAGGTACAAATGGATGCAGCTTAAATAACTTAGAGGAAGGCCTGCAAATTTTGAAAATTTCTTACAAGGATCTACTTCATTCCACAGACGAATTTAGCCAAAGTCGTATATTAGGACGAGGTGGTTTTGGAGTAGTTTACAAAGGGGATTGGAAAGGGAATATTGTTGCTGTGAAAAGATTGATGGCTGTATGTAGTATTCAATTAAAATGTAGTGGAGTAAATAACTTAAGAAATATGTTTTTAAATTTTCCATATTTAATAACTTTTAAGTTTGTATTTCTTGAAAAAGAATTACACAGGCCTGTGATGGTTTTATTGTCTTGAAATGTTTACATGTTCTACAGTAATTCCTGTATGCTGAATCTGAAAATGATATCCATTTATCTCCATCACTACAGACTTTTCACAAAATGTCCTATATACTTTTTCATAGGTGAATCATTTTCATTGAAATCGGGTCAAATTTTGTCATGTTTAAAATCTTGACAACCACTGACTATAGATTTCTCTAGACCATTCTTGACGAAAGAGTCTTATCGATCATCCTAGAACCCACGAGAAACACACTGTTAGTATATAAACTGTTAACAGGCTGCATGACGTGATATTTCTGGATAGTGTTTATTTGTGTGCGCACTTTGACATTATTTTACTTTTCAATATTATTTATTTGTTGCTATAGCAACAAGAGGTTGTGTAAACGACCCAAACATATTCTGTTATATTTGTTGTAAATTTGATCTAAGTAAAAGTGTTTTTTTTCTTCCCAATTTGTAAAAAATCCTTACTTGATAGGAAAAAATGAATATTGTTTTTGTCTGTGTAATTGAATTATGGAAAATTCATTATTAAAACCAAAACAACTTCTCTGAAGTTTAAATTCACAGGCTTGTGTTATCTTGTGTAATCTGAGATATTAGTATAACTTATTAACACATTGTTTTACATTATTCTATAGTTCTTCCAAGGAAATAAGTTTAAAAAATAATTTAAATAAATTTTAGAAATAAGTGTATATACATTTTCCATATCGAGGTTTTTGGTCACACTGTGGATGTTTTAATCCAGTTATATTGGGTTTATTGTATAATTTTCAACAGTTTTCGGTATCCATATTCAGATACACCACCAGGTTGACTAAGCCTTAATACTTTTGAAAGTTAATAATAATATTAACAAAGAGAAACTAAACACGTGTAATAAATGTACAATTGTGTAGAAAAAAATTTGGTTCTACTATAGCATACGGTCTACACAGATATTTACACTATAGCGTGTGGTCTAGAGATATTTACACTATAGCGTGTGGTCTACACAGATATTTACACTATAGCATGTGGTCTAGAGATATTTACACTATAGCATGCGGTCTAGAGATATTTACACTATAGCGTGTGGTCTAGAGATATTTACACTATAGCGTGTGGTCTAGAGATAT